AGATAGATAGATAGATAGATAGATAGATAGATAGATAGATAGATAGAAAGAAAGAGAGTGAGATCAGACTTTCTAATGATTGATATTCATTTTTCATGTTTCAGGTGTGGTGTTCCCCTATTATTCTAAAAAGGGACGCTACCGTTATAACTTCTTTGGGGCCCAAAGAGCATGTCAGGACCAGGATGCCACTCTGGCTACATTTGAGCAGCTCTTCACGGCGTGGGAGGAAGGGCTAGACTGGTGCAATGCTGGCTGGTTGGCCGATGGTACAGTACAATACCCAATCACAGTGCCACGTGATGGCTGTGGGGGGTTTAACTTAGCACCCGGTCTACGCAGCTATGGACAACAACATCGCCTCCGCCACCACTATGATGCGTTCTGCTTCTCGGCTTCTGTAAAGGGTCTGTATGAGCAAGCAACACTTTATTCTTTGTTAGATCACACAACCTCAGCAAATGACCATATTTACAGTGGTTACTCTTTTTTGTCTTAGGGGCCGTCTACTTCCTAGAACACCGTACGAAGCTCAATTTTACTGAGGCGGTCCAGGCTTGTGTCAGCGATGGAAGTCAAATTGCCACTGTAGGCCAGCTGTATGCTGCTTGGAAGCTGCAGGGATTGGATCGCTGTGATGCCGGCTGGCTGGCTGATGGAAGCATCCGTTATCCTATCACAAAGTCACGGGTTAACTGTGGTCCACCACAGCCAGGTGTGCGTAGCTTTGGGTTCCCCCCTCAGTCCCTGAAGTTTGGTGTCTATTGTCATAGGTAGGTGCTCCGACTCAGGACTGGTTCAAAGTTGTGCTCTGCAGGTTGGAATTATTTACCAGTTGGCCAATTTATTCATTTTTCAGATATATTACAGTGAAAACGTTTCGCATCATCACAAAACCCATCTATCAGTCTTCCACTTGGTTACTAATCAAGAACTCAATGCCACTCGAGCTTGACAAAACACAACATGGCCAAAAAGTATGTGGACACAACATTTCAGCCACAAGTCAGCGCTAAAGATCTAGTTTCAAAACTGTTAGCAACATTATCTTGCTTTACCAACCGTCTCTCCTTATTTTGGATCAGAATTTACCAAGTGTTATTTAAACAGCTTAATTCAGCCCGAAACATTGAGTATCGTACTTCAGTTCATCCTATGGATGCTGGAGGTTTTGAGGTTATGCTCAATGGGCCAGTCAGGTTTGCCTGCTTCTGAAATTGCATCTCTAATAATACGACTTTGTGTAGTTTTTAAATGACAAAACTCAACCATCGACAGAGAGTAGCAGTCAGACTCTGATTTATAACATGAAGACAGGCAAATATTTGATCAAAACTGTACTGTTAAAGTTTTTAGATATTGTCCTTCATCAGCACTATTCTGCAGACACGTGCATCATGTCATTATTCTGACTTAGAATTTCCCTTACGACGGATTTCAGCTTAATGCAGTGCTGAAATCTGCCAAAATATGTTTTTCCTTGCTCTAGCAAAAATGTTATTATGTAATTCTGGAAAGTATGCCTATTCAAACATTTGTTTCCATTTAGTCACAAACTAACCACAATAAACTGTATATTTGTTTATACTCACTCTTCCTGTTCACCACATATAAACAAATAGTCTGTCCCTGGGATCCTCATATTGTAGACCACCTGACCAAAGACCACCTGATGATTGAGGCGTTTTTTCTCAGTTTTTTTTCTGCCAAATGTCTGTTTGTTCCACTGATTTCCATCTCCTGATTGTAAACTTGCCAAATGTAGGATACTAACACAGAGGATGCCTTTTTTTAAAAATAATGTAAAACATGTTATTCACCAGTTCATTAAGTGTAACGTGTCTGGTTTCTCTAAAGGTGTTAACGAGTGGCTCTCTGTGATCCACACAACATAAATTCTGAGTTTTACCATGTATCATTGTAACATATAAACAACTTTGTTTGATTACAAATGTTTACCTTCTTTTTTTTTGTATTGGTTCTATGCATTTGGACTTTTTTCTACAAATGAATAAAATACAATTGTAAATAGATCTACTTCAAGGTGCATTTATATAAATATCTATATCTATCTATCTCTATATCTGTATATATACAGTAGAACCTCTATATACAAATTAAATTTGTTCCGGGACCTGCTTCATATATTAAAACATTCCTATGTTGGTTCAAATATTCCCATCAGAATACATTATAATTCAGATCATTCGTTCCATAGCCCAAAACATTTGATAACTCCTTAATAAATACTGCAGATAATTACACATAGCAATAAAACAAATGCTTTATATAGGAGAGATGTAAAAAGAAATAAATTGTACAAAAAAAAAAAAAAAAAAGGGTTTTTTATTGGCACTTTACCTTTGAGACTGGCGAACGGAGGTGTAGGAGCAATGCAGGCGACGGAGATGGGAGGTGTGGAGGTACAGGTGGTGACTGAGATACAATACGTACTGTAACTAACTTTCATTATCTGAACTTTAAACTAACTTTTTTTTATTTTATTAAATGTTTATATTTTATGTACATTTTCTATGATTTGGATGTATGTTGGAAATTTACTTTGTGTGTCGAGTCGAATATTTGATCAAATTTCACTTCATATGTTGTAAAATTTGTATGTTTATGCAATATACACATCAAATATAAAAAAAAAACAATATACTATTCTACTGTATATGTATATATATATATAGATGCACAAACATATATATCGTGAAATACAGAGGCTTTACACACAACGTGCCGTCAACAGCTGTCTGTGAGGTTGTCAGTTGTCTTGGTGGTTTTGGGGGAAATCCACTTGCAGTTGAACTGTATTAAAAACACTGGAGAATTCTTTAAACCTACTTGAACCCCAAATGGATTTGAACTTGGCTCCTTCACCAGTTCCAGAACTCCAGATGCTCCTGGATGTTTGCATGCCTCAGAAATGTCTTCTTTCCGTCTATTCTTCCCTTTAAGCCTTCCATCATTCTGTAGAATTTTTCAAACTGTGATTTAGAGGGATTCATTTCTGCTTCAAGGTGATCTTCCCTATTTATGTTATACTTAAAATCTTGAGATGTGTGGCATCTGCTTAAGTTAATGTTTTTTTCCTGCCTTCTTATTGGCTCTTTTGCAAATGCTGCCGTCTGCATGAATCTCCAAAGCACACTTATCCACACCAAGAACACTTTTTGTCTATGCCTTTGTCTCAGACACTATCCAGCATCATACGGTGGTTTGATTTCGACTCTCAGTGTTTTATTTTTCAAAACTGATTAGGATTTCAAACTGAATTCTCCTTTCTATACTTTAAATATACATTTCAACCAACAAACTGAGCTTCACTTGGAAGTCAGAAACACATTGAGCATAACGTTCAATCACAGAAAATAATATAGGAATGCAAGTTAATAGATATAATTTGACACTTACATCAAGAAATGACAATCATATTAACTTTTTTTCTTTACAAAACTACATATTAAAGATGTACTGGTAAGAATAACTTTTTGAATGTTAGTGTTAGACATTATTATTAACCATGGCAGAAACATTTTGAATGTATGAATTTTAATGGGCATACATTTTGTTTTTATTAATCCACCACAGGACAGTCCTTTTAAATTCTTTTTTTCAATCAAGAATCGTAGAGTAAAGCGGTGAGATGGGTTACTGACAACACAAAACAGCCACTATATATAAAGTTGCTTAACCGCCCTGTGTCTGGCTGTAAACATACATCCCATTTAATATTGGGCCAGCAGATTGAATAAACATGCCCTATTCACACCTGCTTTCCAAACATGGATGAAAACACATGTGAAACATTCTCCCACCCTTAACCCTAAAACTGACTATCACAGCTGAATGCTAAACTTCTAAACCTGACCCATTATATCTGTCTTAGCCCTTGAAAATCCCTTTTAACATTTAGGACCCATTATTTTGAGCGCATTAAACTAGCACACACAAAAACATGAACACACAAAACACATTCCTCAGATTATCAAATACACATGGGATGTATCTTGACAGGTAAATATAGCTTTGCATGCATGCAACCACACGTGACTTATCACACACACATACACATACGCACACACACGCGCACACACACACTCGCAACACTACTCACTCTGTTGAGAGACATACAGAGCAGGTCTGTTTACCGTGACTGCAGTGATGAAGGTAGCTGCTGTTGGAGGCTGATGAAGGATCCATTTATTGCATGTTGTTTCATGATTGGGTTGCGCAGGAAGGAAAACAAACAAAATGCCAGGGCATTGGCTCTGCACAAATTTGGCTGTGAGGAGTTTACCTCAAATGCTGCAGCTCCCGGAAAAATCATTCACAAGAAATACATTTCTCGGGAATTCATTGACATACAATGTCAAAAAGAGCCCCTTTCAGTCATGGCAAAACTGTTGACTGTTGACTTGGATTTATTTATATACCGAGAAAGGACATTCAAAGTTTTATTCGCCACAGTATAGCTACGTGTTCACAATAAAATTAAGAATAAGAACAAAGTCACAACAGAAATGATGTTTGTGTTCATACTGTGATTTATTTGAAAGATTTTAGTTTATTTAAGAACCAGTGAATCACAGACACTGATACAGACCCACACACATTTCCAAAACACACTTTACCCCAGCTTTCCTGCACACTGTTCCATGAATGTCTCTCTTAGGGTGAAATTTAAGCATATTCTTCCACAACACTCTCCCCTCCCCTTAAACACACATGCCAGCTCCAGCCATGCAGGCCTACTTCTTTCATTTGCTGGTGCCAAATCAGTAAACAGGCATTCACTGTGATATTTGGAAATATTTCCGCAATGATGGGTGTGTCCGTTTGAAACTGGGAGATGTGTCCATGCTACTGGGTTGTTTCTGTGAGAAGCCAGAAATGCACTATAACATCTGCCTGTCCTTAAAGTGGAAGAAATTTCTTGACCAAAAAGGGCCATCGTCAACATTCGGCAGCCTCGTCGTCGAGCCACCCCGTGTCCTTTTCAGAACTTCCATTGGCTATGCTGCTCAAAATTCAAAAGAAAAAATCCACTGGTTTTGTTTTGACAGTCGGCTCTTGGAACTAACTTCATCAACAAATTTGTAGACAATGATTAATGCAAACTGTTAAAATATTCTGTTCTGTAAGTTATTGACAGATCCTGCTGTTCAGAATTGATGTGAGAATATTTACAGAGAGATCGTTATCACAAAACAAACACTGAATTCATGATCCCCCGGCATTGACAGAGATCAAACCACTGCATTTCTCCCCAACCTGGAAAGGCTTTTGATACAATTAAAAGACTTGCTAAATTGGAGTTGAACTTCATCTTGTTAGACTCCATTGGCGATTATAGTAACAAAAAAATAGCATTGTTGTAAAATAGATTTTGTGCTTAAAGTGCTCTGGATTCAAATGATCAGCATAAAAATGGAATCAGTGTTCAAAAGTGCACAAGTGTTGATCATTTCAATCCAGAATTATTGCGACCATGTCATGAATTCATCCTATGAAACCCTTCTCAGATTTAAAGGAGAAGGATATGTTTTGAGCCTGATCTTAAAATTGAACAACTAAATGTTTCCTGTGTGACTGCAGAGGTGTCACAATTCAAATGGTCGATCATTTGTTGGTCTAGATTGTCAAACCAAAAGAAGAAGAAGAATAAGAAGAATAAGAACATCTATCAAGAAACATTTCTAGTTAAATATCCTAGCAATACAGCAAGCATCTCTTTGAATTTAACAGCACTAACCAATCTGTCCTTAAACGGTCAAGAGATTTAAAAAAAAAAAATCTTCAGCCAATTTCTCAAATCTAACTTATGTAAAGAACAGAGTCCAGAAAAAAAATCAATTTAATTATGAAATACTGGATTATCAATTCTATGCTTTGAGAGGATGTTGGGTGACAGTTAAAGATCATGAATGCCAGCCACGTCCATTATCACTTTCTAAATTTTGTTTAGGTAGGGCATGCTATCTTTTTGGTCAGCCATCTGCATTAGTGTCCATGCTTTACAAAATAGGTTCTTTGTGGCTCTGTTGTATCTCTTTTCAGTGCAGCTCAGAGCAGTTTCCTCTGTTCCTTTTGGCTGCTGACAACTTTACTTCTCCTCCTGAGGGACCTTTTTTGTAGTCTGTTACTGTTGGTGCTGGCTGTGTGAGGAAAAGATACGCATACTGATCATATAAACAAGAAGAGCCAACAGATTTAGAAAATACCGAGAGAATGGGTAGTCATGAAGTATCGAGCAAAATATTTATATTAACCCCCACATTTTCAGTATTTTACTTTCTCTACTTATTTCTTTCAAATTGAAATGTGATAATGTATTAATGTAACATTTATATGTAACATTTATATCAAGACATCCTGCTTGAGTTTAACTTCCGCATTTCTTGATAATCATCACAAAGTGCCCTGCAGGATCCTTGGGATTTAAATGCATTTGCATTAGGCAGCAACAGCATGGTTTTTATTCAGTGCCACAAAAAAAAAAGATAAAATCAGAAAGGTTTAAACTGACGTGTTCGATGTACATAAACTAGGGATTGAAAAGTTACAGCATAACATCTAAGAAGAAAAAATCGGAGCTCTTCTTCAGAAGCTGCTTTTAAACATCTGGGAATGTATGGGACTTCATATCTAGATGAGAGACACCTTATGAGCCACGTCATTTTATTCTTTGCAAGGTTGGAAATGATTCATAAAGTATGCCCTCCTAATGTGTACGAAGTCTTTGTAAAAGGCTAAACTAATTTTTTGTCAATTTGTAATGACAAAAATAAATATTCCTCTTGTTGGATCTTAAAACATCAGTCAAATACAGCTGTGCCTTTATTCAGTTTGACAGGTTAGGGACCCTAAAAAATTATCTCCCCTAATTCCTAACCCTAATTTAGGAAGACTTACGGGGCATATATTTTTAATTGTCATGATAAATGTTAGTGTAGTCGTGAAACAAACAACTCAAGAGAACACCATTGTTTCTTATCTCTGACGCTGATACTGTCAGCTTTGTGTAGAGTGCATACAGTGTACAAACCCCCAAGTTGCTTGGTAATTCCATACTTCTTACCTTCTGTGCATTCCACTTGTGGGTTTTCCCACTGCCCATTCGCCATACAGTGTATGACAGGCAGGTGGCGCTGTGTGTAGCCTGCGTCACACTGGTAGCGCACTGCAAAGTTGATGGGGTAGAGCTCTCTGTTGCTGCCCATAGGTCTGCCGTGTTCTATCTCAGGAGGAGCTCCACACATGACTGACAAAAGAATAAACAAAAATACATTTTTTGGGGAAAATTCTATTAAAAAGCCAAAGGTGTCCCAGTCTTTACTAAGGGGAAGTCTGTTTACAGAGCGTCCATTTAACCTGATGCCAATTATTGTGTTTTGGGGATAAATTTCAGTTTCCATATTTTACACTGTTTTCTCAGATTTTCTCAGATCAAAATCTTAAGTCCAGTTAAAAAATTGCATGAAATTGCATTTTGCACTGTTGGATCTTAGGAAAGTTCTGAGTAGAGATTCAAAATGCAAAAAGAAGAAATGACAACAAGAGACCAAAGGTTTTGAGCAGACAATTACATTGAAAAAATAAAACAAAACAATTAAACTGAATAGGTTGTTCATCAGTTGATCAAAATTAACACCCCAGCTTTTAAAAACCAGAATCTGTGCAAAATCACTGGATTCCATGTCCTTTCCTGTCAAGTAATCGCAGATCACAGTCAAGATCTCTTGTTGGCAAAGCCAAAAAAGCTCACCATCTTTGAACAAGTTAGGATTGTTAAACTGCATAGACAATGTGCCATCTCTTAAAAGATTCTTAGGGTTATAGAACAATAAAATCATGTGGTGGACCCCAAAAAATTCACCAGCGCTGAGCTGGAGGGTCCAAATGGCTTTCCTACAAGACATGGGGTGATCCTCATCCCGATTTAAGGCCACTTACTGGTGCTGACTGCAGCCTAATAACCATCAGACAGCATCTGCGTAGGAAGGCCTTCAAAAACAAGAAACGTCTTTAAAGGCCATGTGTCCTTCAACGTCACAAATTAGTGATCTTTCAATGTTACTGGCATGATAAGGAGATGCCACCTGAAATGTTTCTACGTGGCACAGTGGAGGGGCGCGCCTGTCTGACCGAGACTTTTCCCCAGGAGAATAACATCACTCTTTTGGACCGTCCGGCATGTTTCCTGCGCTTAATCCAATTGAGAAACTTTGGGGATGGATGTCAAGGGAAATTTACAAAAATGGACAGTGGATGCCCTTTGTGAAGCCATCTTTACTTGGATTAACATTCCCACTAGCCTTTTGGAAACACTTGCATGAAGCACGCCAAAACCAATTTCCAAATGAATCAACAAGCTACTCATTACTGAATCAGTATTTGAGACAAATTTTCTCAGTTGTGGTCTTAAACTTTTGATCAACTGATAAACAGCCTATTTCAGTTATATTGTTAGTTGAAATAAATTGCCTGATCAAAACATTTTCTCTCCCCTTCCCATTCCTTCTTTTTGCATTTTGAAGCTCTACTCAAAAACTTCTTAAGATCTAACAGTGCAAAATTTAAATCACTTCAAAATTGTAACAGTTTTTTTAACTGGTTTAAAAATTTTGATCTTAGAGGCCTCTCTCCCAGCTAAACAAAATATTTACAAACTGGCTGATCTTAATCGAGTGTCCAATGGTCTCGCAACATAGTAACAAAACTTGAGTTAACATTGCAGCAAATGTGCAGGATGTATTGTGGTCAACCCATTAAGCTTAATGGGTTTTTTCCAAAGACAATGAGCTAACTTTGTGGAAATCACAACTATGTTTAATGCTTGCACAGATTGCTGCAATGGCACGTCGACGAGAAATTCCTCCCAAGCGAGTAAGCTCACCAGGACGCATCTTGCAGGTGAACGGAAGCTTGTAGCTGCAGGGCACATCATTCCAGCGTCCATCCTCGTGCCAGGTTAATACCACACAGTCCTCCTCTGAGCCATAGTAGTTATCTGGCTGGTTTGGCCTCCAGTTCTCAAAGGTCTGATGATAGCATTGAAGAAGTATTTTGAAAACATTGTTAGTCATTAATTTTTATAACATAGATTTATTACCCGACCCAAAATCAATCCATTTTCTATATGTCTTATACTGGATAAGAGCTGACAGAAGGTGACAATGGGCAAGAGGCAGGGTACACCCTGGACAGACCAGTCAACCGCAGGGCCACACAGAGACAAACAACCACACACTCTCACATTCACTCCCAGGGGCAATTTAGAATGTACAATTAACCTAACATGCATGTTTTTGGACGATGGGAGGAAGCCAGAAAACCCAGTGAGAACCCATGGAGACAAAGAAAGAACATGCAAACTCCACACAGAAAGATACAGAAAGACACTGGGATACGAACTGGGAACCGTCTTGCTGTAAGGCAAAGATGCTAACCATCATAAATCAACCGCCCCCCCAAAATCCAACATAAAGTATCTGGTTTTCATGTACTGTACACTGAACAGTCACCAGTGTCCAGGCAAACTCACAAGAGGACTGCCATCTGTCCAGCGGAACTCATTCTGCACATCTTTGTCATTAAGTCCTATCCATTGGTAGTCCTGACCAAAGGCTGTAAAGAGAAAACATTTACTGTAACCTTCAAAACATGCAAATATGTCATCCCTGCGGTAAGCTGTACTGTGTTGCATCTGATCACATACAAGTACGACATTTATTTGGGCCATCATCTACTCACTCACAGACATCTTTTGTTAAGTTCGCTGATTTGTGCACAGCTACTCACAGTTGACAAACTGCTGCTCTTCTGGGGAGTTAACGCTGACCAGGTGGGAGCTGAGCTCTTGACAGTGTTGCTCTGCATCAGACCAAGTCTGTCTCTCTTCAAAGTGAAAATAACAGCTGCCTCTGAACTCCACCCATCCGTCGGGACAGCCCTCCAGAGCTACACATGTTCAGAGAGAAAAGTAACATTTGTATTTGATTCCATTTCCTCCCTTTTTTCTTCTTCTTGATAATTTTGGCAACTCAGAGCAAATAACTAAAGTTTAAACACTGTGACGTATTATGCGGTCAGAAAAGCATCTCCAATAAAAGAAGCTGCACATTGTATTGGTAGAAGTTTGATGATGAGCCAGATTAACCATCTAAAGCTCATACCTTCCACAACTTCAGGCTGCTCCACAGCAGCAGGAGTTGCAAACGACAATGATGGTGCTGTGGTGGGGCTGGTGTCGGCTGTATCTGGAGTAACGTCGTCAACTGTAGGTTCCATGGGATCCTCCTGATCCACACCACTTTGGAAAGACCCTCCAGAGGCAGAGCCACTGCTTGAAACACCGGATGGAAAACCACTGGAGAATCCGCTGTACAAGCCGGATTCAAAGGGACGATGTCCAGATACTTCCTGCTCTCTGGCCTGCTGCACAGTCAAATCATGACCACTTTGGTCAACAAATAAAATACCAGAAAAGCCATCGGAGCTGGACCCAGACGCATCTCCTGAGCCGGACATACTTGATTCTAAAATGCCACTGCTGATATCAATTCCTCCCCGACCTAGTTCCTGTCCTGTGGGTCTTTGGTATTTTTTTTGTAACTCTGTCATATCTCCATCTACCATAATAACCACTGGTCCAACACCACTACCACTGCTGTCCCCACTGCCACTAGTAACACCAGATGTGATGAAGCCAGAGTATTGTCTGTCAAATTCCTTTCCAGATGCTGATCCAGATCCACTCATTACATCCCCTGATGTGAGGACATAGGCATTTTTCCGCTCTGCCTCCTCGGGACCTCCAGAGGCAGACTGCTCTCCTGAGAAGACATCAGTGTGTCCGCTGAACGTAATCTGCTGTCCTGATCCAGACATGTCACTGCTGGTGCTTGCAGTTCCGGATCCACCGGATGTCTCCCCACTGGCTGAATGTTCAGCTGAGCCAGATCCTGACACATCAACTGGGACTGGAGGCAACATGGGTGTCACTTGGGAAAATAAGCATGAAGAGGTTCCCATTAGATGCTATAACTGACATAGGCCCCATACCCCGCCAATTTAGATCGGAATAAGCGGATTATAAAATGAATCGATGTATGGCCAAATTTGGGAAGAATTTGGGAAATAATCCTCAAAAAACAGATATTACATTTAAAAAATGGTGAGTCAGTTATTTTATTATTATTTTTAGATTCGTTTGCCGTATTTGAGAAGACACTTTTTTCTTGGTTTGCCAGGTTACAAACAATCCAATTGTTCACCTGCTCAGTCAATAGATCAATATAACCAACCTGTTAAAAAACTTTATCAGTTGCAAATTGCTCTGTGGGACTGGTTAGTTGTAATACATACAAAAATCATTTTTTTATTATTACAAACCCTTCACAAAAAGAGAAAAGACAATGTTGACTGATGCATTCATGTTTACCCCTCTGACCTGTAGGAGGCATATGTTCATTTGTGGTCGCTGATTTGGAGATTAACTCAGTTTCAGTTATATTTATACTGGTTTTAGTTTCATTGTAGTCCACAGGTGTTTTATCTAAATGCAAAATAGAGGGCAGAAAAAACAGAGACATCAGCAGCTGGACCAAACAATTAGAATAAAAATAATTTAAGAAATGGAAGCACATCAAGAAACATCTGACTTACCGGTGGGAGCAAAAAAATCAACTGCAATTGTTGTCTTGTTTATCACAACATTAGTCTCTGGTGTCAGATATAAGCTGGTTTTATTTTCAACACGAACAACTGAAGTTTCAGCTGTAAAAAGCAGAAAGAAGAAATAGTCTCTTATAAAAGAACTCTGATTTTCAAAGCCAACTTAGTTTACCACTCAGCTTCTAATTACTGCTGTTACTTAACTCTGCAATACCTTGGCAATTTTTTGTATCAGATTCAGTTAGTGTGTGTTAGTTTTGTGTGCTCAATCCCGTTTGTTTTTCTATTGATTGATCATCCACTATTTAAGTTCCCTGTTTGTCTCACTTTGGAAGATCAGTTTGTTTGAGTTGGCTTCATTTTTTTATTGTTTCCAGTTATCATTTGTGTAAACATTGGTTACTGTGCTTTCTTTAATGGGCCCATTTGCTTGTTTTCTATTTGTATTCTTTGAGTTAGGTTATTGTTGGGTTAAATAAAAAGTTTTTTACTTTAATATATGTCTTATTGTCACAATAGGTATATGGGAAAAAACGTAACGTTTCCTGGTCTTTGAATAAAAAAGGCATATCAATCTTATTCGAACCTCTAAAACAGTAGGCGTCGTAGCGTGAGTGCTCATCAGGGAATCCTGTCTGGTTGGGGAAGGCATAGATGATGTGGACACCAACCAGACCACCTCCGCATTGAGACCTGGGAGTTGTGACAGGGTAACGGACACTGCGGTCCATCAGCCAGCCAGGCCGGCACTTGTCCAGTCCTTGATTCCAGGCGGCATATAACTCCCCAGGGGTTGCAAGGGTCGTGTTAAGTTTCTGACAGTGATCTACAGCCTCCTCAAAAGAGAAGCTGTCATAGTCACTGGTGAAGAAAACCTCACCTGGCAAAAAAATGTATAAAGGTTAAATGTTACCACAGTTTATAGGTACAGATGTTAAAATTTCAGACCACTGTGATTCGTAGTAATTCTGTATCTTTGAGATTTATGAGGTTTCACCTCTCAGCCGTTCCACATAACAAAATACGTCATAGCGTTCAGTAGCTGGTCTCAGGCCATAGGATCTCACTCCTGGTAGCTGAAGTAGGTTACCAGCACAGTTCTCTCTTGGTGATACAATTGGGTATCTGAGCATAAAGTAAATGACAAGCACAATTTAATAAGGATTAGTTTCCCAGTTATTGTAAATTGTGGAGTTTTTTGGGGTTCTAAAAATATGAAAATCCCCTCTTCGATTTTCTGCCATGATCTTAAAGTGGTGATTTATAAAGAGGACAATCTTTGGTACCATGGTCAGAGTTACAGTGTGGAGTCTATATGGTTTGACATCCATTTGTCAATCCAAATTGTATCAAAGTAAGATGATTTATCACTTAAGTCGCTCACCGGACAGTTTGGTCACGCAGCCAGCCTGCGTCACATTGGTGAAGGCCTTTCTCAAAGGCTGCCTGCAACTGCTGGGGGCTGGCGATGACTGCCCCAATGTTCTGGCATGCCAGCTGAGCCTCCAAAAAGGTCAAAGTATACCGGCCAGTGATAGGACGGTAGTGAAACACCACACCTTGATCAAATGATGGAAGGAAGACAAAAAGTGTTGTCTCGTAAAGAGCTTTTCATTAAATTATGTAAGAATATTTGTGAATAATGCCCATTGTCTGAGCATAGAGACAAGGAATATTGAAAAATCAAATTCTTGAAGACAATAGTGTACTCATTTCAGTTTCAACTAAGGACACTGTGTAGTCTGGAGTAGCCAAAGATCAAACCTTTGATCTTCTGATGAGTAGATGACTGATTCACTTCTTAACCCAAATTTGGGAGCCTGTTTTAACATTGGCACTACATCTTTCAAAGTAATCAATAATTAATTATTTACCCTTGACATTGGATAAAAAATAAACAACATCTGAAGGAACTTGCCGCTGATAAAGAGTGCAAATATACCTGTGGGAGCCATCATTACATCATCCGTCAGATCCAATCCATGCTCAAGCTCGAAGGGTGGAATTGGTAATGGAGGTAGAATTAAAATATCACCCCTCCCCTCCTTAACCTCAGGTTCAGGAGGTGGGCCTGGGGGCCCAAGGGGAGGCCTGAAGCGGATGATGTCTGGGAAAGGTGTGGTCCTCCCAGGCACGGTGCCTTCCTGTTCACCAGCTGATGAGGTAAAATTTTTTAGCTGACAACTTTTACAGAATTGCCTCATCATGCAGCAGAAACATTTTTAAAATCAGTACTATTCTACTTATATAAAGCAAGAAATAACCTTGAAAGCAGATGGCATCATAGCGAGAATCTGGGTAAGGGTATCCTGTCTGGTTGGGAAACAAATACACTGTCCTCACTCCCAAGAGACCCCCTCCACACTGAGGCCTGGCGACATTTATTGGGTAGCGTACACTCCTGTCTGCAAGCCAACCAGCGTTGCACACATCCATCCCACCCTTCCAGGCAAGGTAAAGCTCTCCAGTTGTGGCCAGCCTGGCCCCGAGCTTGACACACTGATCCAGTGCTTCGTAGAATGAAAATTTCTTTACAGATAAAGAGTAGAAGACATTACCTGGGAAGAGAGAAGATTTAAGAAAAGGTGAAAAAGATATTTATGTAAAAGTGTACACTTGTACACTTTCAGGGGATTTCCATAATTGTTAGATGACCTTACCGGACATTTTCTCAGCAAAACAGTAAACATCATAGGTCTCGTTAGCATCCCTGATGCCATATGTTCTTACTCCAGGGAAGGTTTCCTTGTCCCCGTAGCAACGCTCCCGAGGCTCATGGATTGGATACCTGGAAACATCCAAAGATTTCGACACCTGAGTTGTCTGATATAAATTTTTGAGCAAAGTAATGTCCTTTTATGACACTTATTGCATTGAGAATGACCACAGTATAAAATTGCCTCAGGAGAGTTATGATTGTCCAATCAGACTAATCACATGTCTTTGATAACAGATGTAAACCGACATTGAGCAAACAATGTTTGACTGGGCAAAAATATTTAAACGGTTAGCCTGACTCTTGAAAAAGAGAAAATTAAATATTGAAGATTCAACAAAAGTGTTGCATTCTTTCTTTTCAGCTTTCTAGAGGGTTATGTGCTTGAATAGATTGTTGCCTCCTTCCATTAGTTACCTGGTAACGTCAGAGTTGACAAGACTACAGTGTGATGTAACCAAGAATTGTGTAGATTATTTTCTTTTTGGACAAAATCATTACTCTGTATTATATTTTCTATGATTTCTATGTTTGACATCTCTGCCCTCATTTTCTAATACTTAATAGCCCAGAAGGTTGATGTTTGAATTTATAAGAGACCATGAGATTGTGTCCTGTACCTGACAGTCTGATCGGAAAGCCATCCAGCATCGCACTGGTGGTATCCATCATCGTAAGCGGCCTGGAGCTGGGCTGGAGTGGCAATGGTGGCACTGTTCTGTATACATGCTGCCTTGGCTTTCTCAAATGTCAGGGTATAGCGGGTGGAGATAGCACGATAGTGGAACACAATGCCTGTCATATAGACAAAATGGGTGCTTGGTGAGACTTCATCGTTTGTCATTTACTGCTCATAAACCCTACTTTGAAACTGCAACTATGATTTTTCTGTGTAATTGATCAACAATAAAACCCAAATGATGTGTTTTTATTAAGATACAAATAGATGATTCTGTTTAAATTATAAATTAGTTGGACATTTCAACTTGGAACTGTAGTAAATCGAGCTAAATGTATGTGAGGCATACCCTGAACCTGGATGTTCACAGAGTCGTAGCTGTCTTCGATACCATGGATCACTTTGCAGTGATAGGTGCCAGAATCTTTGGATCTCAGCTCTGTAATTTCCATGGTGGCATCAGTAGGGACCAATGGGTAGTTGACCAGTGTCACTCTGTCCAGATACTCTGTCTCCACATGAACCTTCCCTTCTGACGCTATCAGTATTGTGGTAACTTTCTCCTTGTCCTTGTAGGTCCATTGGATCAGGTGGGAGAGTGGAGCAATGGTGGGGGCTCCAGGGTCATTGACAGTGTTGTCCTGGAAGTAACATGGCACCACCACCTTTCCACCAAGCAGAGGACGAAGAGGCATCTCTACAGGGATGCTGACCTTCAATGTGCCATCCATGTCTAGAGTAAGGATATGTGAAAGGATTCAGGATTAATTTAGGTTCCAGACCAACATAATGTGCGGTCTGAAATAGACCATTTCAAATAGTTTTTATTTTTCAATATAAAAAACACTTACATTCAAATATCAAATAAATGTTTTATATACTTGATGATCAATCAAAATTTGGCAAGTTATTGATTACAGCGTACCAGTTTAAGACCATCGTTAATATGGTGTGAAACTGGCTGTGGCTAAAGTTTTAAGAAGAAAAGTGCTTGCTTAACTGCACTGCGACAGCAGGAGACAAAGAATCATTACTTATAAGAACGGAAAAAGGATAGTGCGTGGAGCTCTAAAATATTCGTTGAGAACGTGATCAGTTTTCACCAGATCTGGACCAAGCAGATCAAAAATTTAAACACTACAATAAAAACAGCTATAGAATAAATAAAAATTTAAAAAAAAAGGGGGGGGGGGCTAGCATGTTTAGTATTTCTGGTCAAATACACATACATCCTGTTGGTATATGTATGATAATTACTATTATTGACCGATCTAGGTATTAGATCTTAAAACATTAAAATATTGTCTAAGTTGGGATGTTTGATTATCTAAAATTAAACGAAAACTAGAATGACTAAAAATGGCTTTTCTCGTGATGCAACACATGCACAACTTCAACCATTTACCAGAGGTCACTTACCATCTTGGCCTTTAAACAGCATTGTTGCTGAGATGATGGGCAACATAACACAAAGCAAAATCAGAGGCGTCATCCTTACCTGAAAAACAGAGAAGATTAGAATTACATTTTTTATCATGAAACTTATTAACAGTCATATGAGATGTGACATGTCACATTAAATTAGTATCATAAGAAGATAAGCAAAACAAGGATAAATAGAAAAACGCAGATGATTTAAAAAAAGATTTAAAACTGTCTTTTGTGAGTAGTTAATCATTTTGTTAAAAGCCAATTTTATTTCTACTTTTTCTGCCTCTGTGTGCTATTTCTGCTCCTACTTCATGTTATCCAAAATAAACCTTGCTTTGTTTTTCACCTGACCCTTATTTATTGAGATGGAAATAGGACATCATGGGTATCCAGAAAAATTTGCAAATGGAATAAAAGCCCCTCTGTCTTCACACAGAAAATGTATGTTCAGTGCTGAAAGCAGTTCAGGCACTTAAAGAGTAGTATGATTCACTCATCTTTTTTCCTGTGTTAAAATGTTGTCCATGCAAAGTCATCTGTGCCATTCGTGAGTCAGTCAATACCGCTCCTCAGACCAGTATTTACTCACTCATCACTCAGCATGTATCAAATAGCCCACTGTCTCAACAGTTGGCTTTTAGATACCATTTTTAGAAACAATAAAGTGCATGGTAATCGAATGTTCTTTTTAGGGTGAGATGTAGCAACCATAATCATCAAACATGGTCATGTTAATGCTTGTCTCAAGATCACAGGTAAACAGTTCAAAACAAAGTTATTTCCATCTACAACTTTGATATGTTTCCTACGATAATAAGCTACCTTTGGCATATTAAACTAGCATTTTGTTAAAAAAGCAGTGTAATGATAGTCAGGGTGATAACATTATCCTTGTGAATAATTTGGGTTCAGAGAGCTTATATAAATGGCATGGATGTATTTGTTTTAATATATTTTCCATGTAGTCTGTGAGTATTAGGGCCACATTTGAAAAAAACATTATTATTATTATTATTTTTTAAAGTTTTTTAAAATTCCGACTTGGTTTGTTTTCTGTTTTTTCCTGATATGTGTCGGAAAGCATACCGGTAACTGCCAACTTAGTACTCAGGCAGGCTTTAGTATCACAGTCTCACTTCTGTCCGTGCCAGGTTACCACATTGCTTATTTCTTCTCAACTTTCCGTTGCTCTGACGTGCATCATGCTCAGGGATACGAAGCCTATGTAAGACCTAACTGAACCTCCATTGTGCTGCATGTGCAGTGCCTTGGACAGGCGAAACCAGCTCATTCCAACTGCTACAGAGAGATATTTATGACTAATAAACCTGAAGCAGTTGTGCTGACCCACCAGAGATTGAGGATGGAAAAGAAGCCATAACTAGTCTAGGATAATGCTATGGTACTTGGAACCCATGACACCTTTGTGCAGACCCATTGTGTTACCTTTTATTAATGTCATTGCATTACATACTACATAAATAATTGTTACTGTGTGTTCTCTTAGTTATTCAAATCCAACACATACAGTATGACAGTACCAATATTTTCCCTGCTGTCTAAGATGTGTGTGAGAGTGAATGTTGCCCCAGTTATAAAGGAAATAAAATGAAAGAAATACAGGAAGTACCATGTAGTATATTTCAGATACATGAACAAAGCCGCCTTTGTTCATGTATGAGTTGTGTTGCTTTTTTCATACATCGCTCATCAATTTACTGTTTTTATTACAGTCTCTCAAACACTATGGGACTTTTACTTAATGTATGTAGTAGTGCAACAATGACAGAAAGAGTCCATTTTGAAACTTCAAAAAACTTCAAACTTCTGAAGCGTAAAACAACATTTTAAAGCAGTCTTTTAACAAGAAACAGAAAGAGATAAACTGCTATTCAATGTGAAATGACTTTTTAGTTTATTTTGTTGCTGTATGTCTTTCTAAATGATAGATGATTCTTTTAGAAGTACATCCCATTATCTGGTATTGACAACACCATTATTTGATGTATCTTCTCATGAAGTTATAGATTTATAAGGGTGGTTTAATGACTAATTGTCAGAGCTGCAATAATTAGCCAACCCATTGTCTGATAAAGCATCAGCACACTAAAAGCCTTTGTCTCTTCAAATGTTTCTCAGATCCTTTGCTCTCCTTAAACGTATCATTTAAACTGTTTCCACTTTTTAACAGGAAATAGAATAGGTAAGTATTTCTCGCTGGGTTATATCAAGTCAATCAGCCATCTCTCCACAGTGTGCCCATTCAGTCAGTGAGGTGGCTGCTGCTCCCCATGTCTGCCACTATGGTATGTCCTGCTCCCAGCTGAGGTGGAGGGCAATAAGGCCTCTGTCTGTTCCAGCAGTGAATAGGGGCGGGGTCTTGGGAGGTGCGATCCTGCCAAGGTAAACACAAGGCGGGCATCCAAAGACGACCCCCACCCACTCAAACGCACACACATCTCCACCACCTCCCAATGCACCCACTTTCCTCTAACGTTCTGCTGAAGAACAGAGCTGACATTGATATGTCTGCACACACAGAAACACAGACCGACACTCATAGATCACCAAAGGGATGTGAGTGAACGCACGTCAGATGCTTCTGGGAAAGAAAATTGTGTACTCATACAACACTTTTGACACAGACTGTAAGGCCTATGTTTGCAAACACACAGAGACTGTTTTACAGTGAGCTGGGCAGAGAGCTGAAATTCACCATCACAGGTACTCACGAGTATATTAACACATTCCAATGTACTAGGCAGTCCCAAATCAAATATATGTTTCAGTGGCAGAACATATCAAACATATACACACAAACACACAGACATGTGTAGACTCACACACAAACATACACTGATGGGTTTAGTTCATATATCTAAAGTCCTAAATCTGTCCTCCCCCAAAATCATTCAAAGACATAAGATACTTGCATCAACTGAACCCTTGGTCAACTTGGTAAATTTCAGCATCCCATGATTACAATTCACAACGTGTACTTGTGCAGCCTGGTGTAACCATAGTAACAGGATGATACTCTTTGCCAGCTTTTTCCAATGCCACTGAAGTAAAACTGTCAAAAGTCAATTGCTTACAACCAACCCCTGTATGAGAGTGTAACAAAAAACAAAACTTAGACTCTTGGACTTATCTTTTACCAGTAAATATAAGCTTGAATTATTCTTCTGATAAATTTACGAGTATCTTTGAATGAAAATAAATTGACACTCAGTTACAGTGGTTCCTATTTTTAGACACATTTCACTTTCTTTCTTTTGCTTGATACCTTGGCTATACAGGCAACAACTGAAAACACTGAAAGAACTGAAAGAGCTATAACACAAGCATGTTAGTAATCTGACACATGAAAATGCTGGAAACATCTAATTATGCAAAAATGAATCCATTTTTAAATGAAAATTCAAGAAACATAACCTCACTTTATAAATTCCAGTCATTGTGACTTTCCCGTCAAAGTTGTGGAGTATCGTCAAAATTAGTCAACAGAGTAAGAAGAACTATGAATGAATCCTGAAGCCTTTCTGGAGCATTTTTGGTTACACAAGTGTTTAAAATTGCGAAAGTTACCATCAGCTCATGGTTTCAGTCTTTAAATCTTTACCTGTCTCCCAAACAGAGGATGGAATATTCCTTGTAAGGGTGTCCAGTGGTGAGTTGTAAATGTACTGTTGATCCTGCAGTGCTCCCAATGTCAGCTTCTTACTCCTGCCTGGGTAGGAGCACAGAAAGAAGCTCTATTCAAACAACACCACATTTTCAGATGTTGGAAAGTGAGGGAGGGACGGAGAGGGTGAGAGAGACAAGGTAGTCCTCTGCCAGATGGTGAGGTCATGCAAGTAGTCATGGATTTCAAATTTGAACAGAATATACAAAGTTTATGAGTAGATAAGAAAAGAAAAAGTTTTTTAAAAAGCCAAATGATTAAATAGGAGCAGCTGCGGTCAAGATGAAAGCTTCTATAGTTTTCTTGCCACAGATCCATTCTTTTGGCAACAATTGAGACAAAACTACAACAGATCTCTGGTGGGGTCCTACATTTACAACAATGCAAAAATGAAAACAAATGGATTGTATTTTGCATGTGCTTTACAAACAGGCCAGTCTTCTGTGGTTATTTTAACATGTTTTTCTTTAGTGAATGGGATAAGAGAAAATAGGATGCTGTCTATCATCAGGTGGTAGAAGAAATATTCAGATTTCACACAGAAAATTACCTTTGCCTTTAGGATTACACTTAAAATGTTCTTTCTTTGCACAGCTTGTTGTTGCCGATGGCTGAGGTGATGCTGGAACATGGAAAATAATGCCACTATAGGCCTTACTGCTGGGGAAACTCACATGATTTCCTTTTTTCCATGTACATTTTTCCATGTATATGTGACATGACTGTTTTCATTTACTTGTGTTTCTTCCTTTTAGCAGGTGTTCCTGAACAGTTGTTATGAGGGTTGTTGTACATCTTTCATATCTTCTGAAACCCCAGCTGGACGAGGCAGATGGCCACCCTCCTTGAGTCTGGCTCTACCAGAGGTTTGTTTCTATCAATCTCAGGGTGCATTTTATTACCACAAATACATTGTGTATGCTCAGGTTGAGGTTTGGATCAAAGGGAAGATTCAGTGCAATCATTTGGTTTTTCTTAGCAAGAACATTTGTACATTTTCATTTTATGAATTGGACTAATTCTGGTGTAATTTCTAAGGCTGTCACCTCAGAGCGGGTTTTCCGGTTTCAAATTCTGGCTCTGGGATCTCTCCAGGTACTTTCCTCTCTACATCCCATAAGGTCAACTGGCAATTCTAAATTGACAGTTGGAGTGTGCTTGGTTGTCTCTCTTGTACCTCTCTGGGTGGCCCTGTAATAGACAAGTGACCTGTCCAGGGTGTACCCTGCCTCTAGCCCAATGATCGCTGGCTCCAGTTAGTTTACAAGTGTGGTGGTATCTTTTTCAGCACCTACAGTATATAGCATGCAGTGTGTCTGCTGCTAGTTTCTGAGAGTTTCTTCTTTCCTGTGCCCAAATCAGTCAAACCATTCAAGCCCAATTATGGCCGAACTCCCTCTATCTTGGTCTTCCTGTCAAAACATTGTTGTCCAAACTTTTGGTTTCCCTAGCTTGTCTATAGACATAATGAATTTGGAATGTGATGAAATGGAAGTCATAGGATTATAACTGAATTATATTGAATTGGATTGTCATTGGCTTTAACTGGGCTTTATCTTGTGCTCCTTGAGAGGATATCTTTTATGATTCGTTGCTGAGCCGATCTAAGTTTGCATTCAGTTGTAAATCAAACATGTTAGACGTTGGTCTGAGGTTGAGGATAGGTGTGCCCCCCACTCGTCTCCCACCAGTCTATATTCAGTGATGTATACACTGGCTCTGTGTGCTGAAACCCTGGAACACACTTACTGTCGACATCTTCAAAGGGAAAAAGATTTAACAGCTGATTTGCTCTAATTTTGGACATGTTTGGGGAGCCAGTGTTTGTCCAGCAGATATTATAGAAACACAGGGTTTGCTGACCATCATTCATGTCGCTTAGCTGTCACACGGTGACATATCTAAAGAATTTAGCCTTCTCCAAATACCAAAAAGGAAGAGCCATGAGGCATGTGTTTGTGTTTGGCATGTCATTTTCCACACATATGGTTTAATAGCCAACAAGGGCGCAATTAGAGCTTCATAAGTATTTACATACATCCAGTTTGGGTGACTTTACATGTAAGGTAGTAGTTTGAAAGACAAAATTGGTCATATACCTGCAAGTTTCTGAAGAAACTGAATCTTTAAGTGACAAGAAACGGTATTAGTCTACACCACATATGATTCCGATATGAAATTAGAAAAAAAGCAATCAAACCTAGGCCAAAATCCTATTTTTGTGAGGCTCAATTCATGCCAAAATATGTGTATGGTTTGCATCATCTGAAAGTGTGACACATCAATTTCAATCGTACATACGCCAAAATAAGTTTTTATACATAGATTGTTAACATAGCAAAAATATTTTACAGACTAAATTCAACAATAGTCAGTACATCTGTAGTCTCGTGAAATTCTGTCTGACTTTGTTCCTGTTATTTTCTGACACTGACATCAAAAGTACATACAGTTTCTGGTTCGAGCTCTAATAAAAGTGTGTCTAGATTTGTTTTAAGAGAAAGGAAATAAAGTTCATACTTGGTGCTAATAATTTTGTCTTAATAACCAGTGGTGGAGCACTTTCACACTTGCTGGTAGTTCAAGTTTCAAGTTAATTTGTTTGCCATAGTTTCCATCAACTTTGCTATCCGGAAGGTGATGGGTATTTTCAGTTCAATCAGTTTAAGTCTAACTTGCTTAACTAATACTGACCCTGTCATGAGTCGGATGACATAACTGTGATTGATTTGATCTAACAGAAGACAAGGATATTCCCAAGGTGGTAAGGAAGCCTTCTCTTGGATATTATAGCATCATCTGTTTAAAATCCAGCAAGGTTGTTAAAACGTTGAATGTATGGGCTTTTTATGTTGGGCACACTACTCATTAAGGCACACAAGGACCCTCTTATAGGAAAGGTTGCATGTTTTCACAGACTTGGTTGTAAAGAGAATATATGCTCTACATCAGCCATTAAAAATCCGCCACATTCTATTTAAATTGCTGTGATATCCTGTTTCTCACCTGTTTTTACAATATAAAATGCAGGTTCCATGATGAATGTCTCTTTTGTTCTAAAAGGATCTGAATTTAGCTACTTTTTTAACAAGTTCACTTGAGCTCTGCCCATGTTCACTGTTAACTGTTCTTTATATTTCCATTGTTTCTATTAACTTACACATATGTCCTTGTTGACATCAAACCATTGCTTGTGACTAGCTTCAGTTCATTTAAAGTCTCAGTGAGTGCTGACTTGTTCCCCAACAAGATGCATTACATAGCAGAGTCTATGTGAAAGACCTCACTGAGTGGACGAGGCGGTCAACACAGAGATGCTTCTGTTTTCTCTTTTCTCCAACTTAAATGATCCAAATATGAGAAGCCACATGCTGGAGACAAGCTGGAATATTGCTGACACAGGTTTTTCAAATAGGATCTACTGCAAGCAAACTGAGGCTTTTTCTTCCTAAGGACCAATTTCAAGCTCAGGGAAAGTGCTGAGACATCTGTTTCAGTTGACAGACTCCTGTTTTCACACAAGGCTATATGCACATAAACATGAATAGGTGCGGGTATTTCCATTCAGATAGATGTACTTCTCTGCACATTTTTTTGCTGAAATAAGTTGAAGACACATGTGATCCCAGCATTATTCTGTATCATTACCACTAGGTCACATTATGACACTTTGATGCTTTTCCAACAGAAACAAGCAAATGTTGTTCCATTGTGGAGCCCCAAGGGTAATTCTCTTTCTATATTTTTTCCCTAACACAAAAACTACTGGACAGTATTAATTGAAACTTCAAACCCATGGAAAAAAATCCCACAGAAGAACCCTTTCAATTTTCAACTACGCAACATTAGCTGCATGGTTGAAAGACACATTCTTGACATAAAAATGACAGCAACCACCTCTCGAAATAGAGCAACCCTTTAAACAAAAAGGCCTCCACAATGTAGTAAGGTAGTGGACAGAGACAGTGCCCAGTTGGGTGTTAAAGGAACAGATGGATACACACAGATGTAATGTACACAACCACTTCATTTGCAATAGCAATATTCTCAGATCACCTTGCAAGGTAAATGACGGTCATCTGTGCATTAGAGCTTTTGAGACCATTATTGAATATACATCATAGAAAACTGACAGTATTGCAGTAGCAGCAGATTTAGTTTTTCTGCCACTGAAATAACCTCAAAAGGTTTCGGTGCTTACTCATTGTAATGACATGGAAAATTTTAATGGTAAATTAAAAAATATATATTCACTTTTAAGTTCATGTTATTTATGAAGACATGCAGATGGGCTAATTTTCTGGATTAATAAGGACTATAACATGAAAACTACTATGGCTACATGTTACTCCTCCAAGACATTTTGGGATTTTATGCACATGTATGTGTGTGTGTAAATGGTTGGGAAATTATTTTGAAAACTGAGGAAAGGTTCTTCTCTCTACATTGAAAAAAATTACAAATGAGTGCTTATGTTGACCCATTGAATCTTAAAGAAACTAATTGTGCTATATGTATTCTTGGTCAACTGATTTTTCTTTCGAAACTGTTTCCAAATACATGTGTATAGTCATGAATTCTGACAAAGACTTTCCTCTATGTTAAATACAGTAGTTGCAAAAGTATCACATATAAAAATCGAGGCTGCTGAAGTCATAAGGGTGTCCTTTCAATCTGTCTTGGCCTGGCATTTACTCCCACCATCCATTAGAAGTAGAGATTAGTGTGTATGTGTATGCCAGGGTGTGTGTTGACACAGTCTCTTGCAGCCTATTAAGGAGGAGGGTGCATTTTTTTACAACCTCACCCCAAGAAGTCAATTCTTGCTTTATAGGTGCCAGGTCTGACTCAGTAAATATGTACGTGTGTGTAACAACTCTGACAAATCTGAGCAACATTAACAGGCAGATCTTGTCCATTTTCTCTAATTTCTCTGACAGTTTGTGAATTTCTTTTTTCTAAAAGTGGATTACTAATCTACAGAGTTGTTACAGAATAAAGACCTATACACTCATGACTCACACTAGTGCAGGAGTGTAAGTCATCCAGTGAATCGCTGACAGGGTTCACATACAGCCGCAGCATTAGCATCTGGAAGAATGTTAAATACTTTACTTCACATTCTGATGATTCTAAAACTCCATCTTTTAGTCACATAACCACACCCAAACAGACCAATAAGAATGTATTTTCCCTTGAAACATGTTCATGTATTTATGGATTTAGCAGGCGACTCCAAACAACTTAAAAAGTAGAGGGCACCGAGAGTTGAACTGGGGACCTCTTGGTCTGCAGTCAAATGCTTTACCACTGAATTATCCCCCCTATATACATAATGGTTTCCAAAGTAACATTATTGCTTAAAGTCAATATTGCTTAAACTCAATCCAGAGGTCACGCTTGTTAAAGTGTATTTTTTAGAAGCGAAAAAAATACAGATTCAGCCTGATGACTAAAACACTTGATAATTAATCTTTGGTCACGTCCATTGACTGAGGGTGCCATACAGAACTTGACCTTTTTTTTTTTTTTCCAGAAAACCTTTTAAACTTTCTTCCCTTTTTCTTTTCTGTTGATTTTCTGGTTCAGTTTTGGTCTTCATGGGTTCTTTGCTCTGACAAAGAACCTGCTTTTTCTTTAGCTGCGCGATTTTGAGGTTGACCTAGGCTATGGTCTTTGCTTTTGAAATTCTCCTGTTCCCAATTTTGGCGGCATTTCTAAATTGACTCATCCTTCCTTTTCTGCTTTGTTAGTTTATCTACTCAGTCTGCCTGTTTCTTTTCACTTCCTCTGAGTCTCGTGTTAACGTCACACGTCTTGTTATTCCTGACTGGAGCTCGTGTCTGTCCTGTTGCATTTATGCTTTACCTGGATCTCAATTTGACATTTTGTTACCTTGCATTAGCTCTTTTGGGTCTCCAATTACTGACCGAAGTTATAAATAAAGAATGCATCTCCTTAAATAAAAAACCCTAAGAAGATGTATCTTCTCGATTCATATCTATCGTTTCCATTTAGATAAAAAGCATTGTTATCTGACAGATTGAGTCAGAGAGAAGAGCTGATCCAATGTAGTAGCAGCCCTGTAAATTAAGTTTTTAATAAAGTACAATGCACAGGATAATTTTCCCTAGAAATTAAAAATAAATAAATAAAATAAGCATTTTCTGCATGTATTCTTTTCAGTCTGCAACTGAAGAATCCAGTTAAAAGGTTTATGTCAGATTTGGTCTTATTTAATGTATAATTAAAAGACATTTCTTCTTTTAGAAATAAATTAAATATTTTACCCTCAATGGGAATATCTCCCTCAATGATGATTTTTTTTGTTGCATTAATGTGAAAAAGTAAGACAAGTAAAAGGATGGTATAACAACCAGTCCATGCTCGCGAAGTGTGGTATAATCTCGAAATCGGAGAGACATTTATTTTCTTTCCCAAGAGGGAAAAATGTTCCTTTGCTCCAGGGAAGTGGGGAATTGCACCACCAGCACACTGATCAGCAGATGACTGCTCACCCTACTGACTTACACGCGTTAGTCACCTCATGAGAGATACTGAAGGAACCCGTTCACCTCACTAGTGACTGAGCCCTCTCTTCATCCTCTGAAAGTACAGAGGGAGAAGTCTTCTGACTTGTTTATTTGTTTGCATTTCTAATATATATATAAATTTGGTTGTAGAACAAAATTCGGTTAATGTGGGCACATTTGAGCAACACATGTCTGGAGGTTGTGATCAATTTATCACTGACAATTTGATAATGTTCCACAAACTATACTTCTTTTTCATCTCCTGCTCAGTCAGCTCATAAAAAAAAGTATTTTTTAGATTTGGAAGTCGCATCAGTAACGAAGGAACTCGGAAAAGACAACTTTTTTTAATGGAATACATTATTTGAAACATTGAACGTTTTTTGGAAGCTGGATTTTTGGTGAAAGGGAAATGATTAGCAGGCAGAGGCTTTTTATGAACACTGCTTCCTTATGATGCCTCACCACCTCCTGTGGTATGATGGGGAGGATGCTTCACATTTTCTTGACAGATTGCCAGACTCGCATCAACTACACCAGGCTGGCGATCTGGCCTTAACCAGGGTTGAATTGACTTGGAGAAGAGCTCAGAAGGAAGCAAAGGGAACTGTGGTGTCACAGCATCTATGAGAAGCTTTTTTCCCTTTTAACCTTAAAAAGTAATTGCATGATCACCTTTTTTTTTGCCCATGAAAGTGATTAGGAAAATGCTCTGTACGTCTGAGAGAATGGCAGACAACATTTTATATTTAATCCAAGATAAAAGATAACGTGAGCAAGATATGACTGATCCATTTACAACACCCCCCCCGGCCCACTAGTTCTCCAATTCCCACCGTTGAATGTTTATTATATGTTATATATCTATTAAATACATATCTACTACAAGTTTTAACATCTAGACTGACTAGTATTATCACAAACTATCACGGTTTGATGGAGAGAGGATTCAAATGCCCTAACAAGGAGGGAGACCAAGTAATCAGGGAAAAAGTAACATTTATTTACGGGTCAAAAAAAATCAGTCAGAAGTTGGATACAGATTCAAAATAAACAGGGGGTAAAACAAAAACAAAACAAAACCTAGAGTTACAAAACCAAAAAAAAGGGACAAAGAAACAAGACCTGAGGTAGAAAATATGAAGGACGTGACACTGAGATGAAGACGATTGAAAGTTTGACAAGGATCTGGCACAAGACAAGGGGCGACGCAGACTATCAGTACAAATGATAGGAAACTAGGAACTGGTGGGCACAATCAGGAATTAGGGAAAACAGGCTGTTGGTAAAAGAGGCGAGTTATTATTACAAAATAAAACAGGAAATTAGGAGACCAAGACATGACAAAACCAAACCAAAAACCCTGGGTGTGACAAACTTTCTGCTAGAAGACATCAGGCTGTTTGGGATGCTTCTGATATGTGATACTATATTAATAGTATTTTTTAGTTAATATGCATCAAGAGCAACAACTTATGCTGATTAATAATGAGACCCTGTGAGCAGATTTAGAATAAGGTGCAAACATCTGGTTAAATGTCATAAAGCTAATGACGATGACTGGGAGGTTAGTAATCAAACTGGAATTATATGGGGGCTCAAAAAAGCAATATTGATTTCCTTGTCATAAAGTAAGACATTAGTAGTATGGTATTTTTAAAAAAATGGAACTCACTGCCATCAACAAATTCACGGTGTATAGGTCCTTTTTTGTTCCTAATGACGCCTAAAGCAAACTAAAACGACTAGAAAAGTAAGACTGGGGAAGCAAATCGATGGGGGGAAAAAAACTATCGTGTCATTGAAGCACGGTGTTGTAATACTGAATTTGGACACTAGGTGGCAGCAATGGCGCGGCTTTCAACAAGGAAACTTTTTTGTTGAGTGCAGAGAGAGAGAGAAAGAAAGGAGAAAGAGAGAGAGAGAGAGAAGGAAGGAAGGAAGCTGTCAGAGGCAGCAGCTGAACACATCGGCGGTGACCGGACGTGAACTTTAAAATATAGCCCACGACTTCATCTTCCTTCAACAGAAAAAATAAACAAACAGAAAAGACATTTAGACGGCAGCAGCTACCACTCGAGACGCTTCAGTCAGTGAAAACAAGGAAGTAAACAACTCACTTGTTTTCTGCCGGTAAGTCTTGTAGACCTTACTGCTTTTGTGTGTATGAGTGTGCGTGTGCTTCTGGGTGCCGTGGTCCAAGAAAGCGCCCCCCCCCCCCTGTTGCTTAGATGAAAACGGACAAAGGCAGACCACCGCAACGCGGGGTTAGAACTACAACGTAGCAGTCGGGAGTTTTGTTGAGTGAGCTAGCCCACTTGTTTCTACAGTGGGAGTTCTACGGCCATTCGTGGTGTTTTCAAAGCGATTTGACGCGCACTTTGAGTTTTAAAACCAGGCTGCTGGACACCTGTAAACCGAAGCTGATTGGAGGGCTAACCCCCTCGACAAAAAAAGAAAAACAGACAGCGAGCGATTGCCAGGTTTGAGCAGAGAGTGCGACAGTTTCTGGCTTGGAAGGAGTATTATAACTCTTTAAAATACATAGAGAAAAAAGTAAGAGATCCGCATGGGGAGTTTAACTGAACGGCCAGTCTTTCTATTTCTTTTCTAAAATGTCTCCATCTCACACAGTTATACGTTGCAGCCTTGTGACGTTATTTATTAGGACCCCATGTTGAGTTCTTTCAGCAGAGTGGTGCTGCTGTCGATGCATAAGAAG